TTGAGGGAGGTGAGAAAATGAGTCAAATGGACAGCTGATACAAGAGCCTTCTGGGGCAGAGAGAACAGCAGGGTTCTAAGTGGGATGTGTGCCTGATTTTAGCAATTCAGTTATTTATGACAGAGTAAATAGCCATAATAAAGAGAACACTGAGAACCTAATATAGACACTTCCATTCCTGCTCATGGTTCTGTTTATTTTAAAGGCAGGATGACTTCTTTCTTTTGAGTATGCTCCATCCTGTTTACCCAACATTCTACCTGAAGAGTTTGTTTCTCATAAGAGGGTTTTCAGTCTTCATTTTACTTTGCTCAAATGAAGCAGTTACCAAACCTCCTGATCTCCAGACACTTTTATACTCTTAAAAATTGTGGAGGACTCAAAGAGCTGTTGTTTATATGAGCTATATTTATTAATATAATACTGTATTAGGAATTAAAAATTTGGAAAATACTTAATTTGTTTAAAATAATAACTCTTTTGCATGTTAACACAACATATTTTCACGAAAAATTACTATTTCCAAAATGAAAAACATAGAATACTGGCAATATTTTACATTTTTGTAAATCTCTTTGATGGTTGGCTTAATGAAAGACAGCTGGGTTCTCATACCTGCATCTGCATTTCATCTGTTGTAGTATGTTATTTGAGTTGAAACATTCGAAGAAAATCAGCCTCCCACAGATGCGTAGTTGGAAGAGTGAGAAGCATTTTATTAGCCTTTTCAAGTAACCAGATATTCTTCCTTGACACTACACTCAAGGTGGTAGTTTCTGAAGAGTCAGTTGCAGTGTGGCCTTTTGTATTTTGTACCCTCCCGAGTGAATGAGCACAAAGAAAGCACATAATGTCATCGTGTTAGTGTGAAAACAGCTTTGACTTTGCAACCCCCGAAGGGATCTTGGAAATCACCAGGAGTCCCCTGACCACCCTTTAAAGCTTTGATGAGGTGAAGAGAAAAGTTGCATGAAAACAGTTTGAAAAAAACCATGTACCATGAAAAAACCATGAACACGGAGAACTTCCTAACGCTTCTGCTTCAGTGTGAGGCAGGGAGGTTTCGTTGTCTCTTTGGGTTCTTTAGTCAAGGATATAAGTCACTGCCACAGAAAGCCAGTGAACGCATAATCTAGAGAATGGGGAGAAAGGCTCTCTCAGCCACCCTTCCCCACTGTGGTCCCCACAGAGCTAGAAGTAAAGAGGTCCACCAGTATTCTGTACCGTGGGGCAGCGCTGCTTCAGCTGTAATGTGCAGCCCAGGCACCTGGGCATCTTGCTGAAAGGCAGATTGCGGTTTTGTAGGTTGGGGCCTAGGATTCTGTATTTCTTACCAGCTCTCAGGTGATGCTGTTGGTGTTGGTCCACAGACCACCCTTTCAGTAGCAAGGGTCTAAATGTTAAATTGAGTACTCTGAGGGTAGACTGACTCTGCACTTCTGGTAAATACAGTGCTACTCAGCACGGCCATGCCTGCTAAGCTCTGCATCATCAGATGATCAGGGAGATAGATTATTATTTTTTTTAAAGATTTTATTTATTTATTTGAGACAGAATGAGATACAGACAGCATGAGAGGGAGGAGGGTCAGAGGGAGAAGCAGACTCCCTGCCGAGCAGGGAGCCCGATGCGGGACTCGATCCTGGGACTCCAGGATCATGACCTGAGCCGAAGGCAGTCGCTTAACCAACTGAGCCACCCAGGCGCCCAGGGAGATAGATTATTGAGTAAAGATACGGATAGTGCCACCCTCACAGCAGTCTAGTGGGCCGTATCAGCCACATGTTACCATGCTCAGTATCTTTATACTGCCTAAAACCTCCGATGGTTTCCTGATTACCTGGGAATACAATTCAAACTCCATACCCTGATTCACAAGACCCTTAATAATCTGGCTTCTGTGGACCTCTTTGACCTTGACAGTGATCATTTTGTCTCACTCGCTGTGGTACTGTCACAGAGACAGTGTTTCAGTTTCAGAAGGTGCTTGGATTCTCCGTGTCATTGCGATGGCTTGTCAAATAAGCTTTCTAATTCTTTGCTTGAGATATAGCAAAGATACAGACCCCCCCCGAAAGAAAAATTTTGGAAAGAATTTAATAAAAGCAGTAAAGTTGTCAGTTTTTGGATTTTAAAAATATCTATTCAATCAGCAGGTATCTACTGCATACCTACTGTGTGTCAGGCATCATTTTAGGCATTGGAGTCATGTCAATGAATAAAATTAAGATTTCTACCCTTGTGGAGCTTTAATTCCAGCACAAGAGAGACAATAAACAATAAAGAGAATAAATAAATCATGTAGTACTGATAAAATATAATAAGTATTATGGGAAAAACAGTATAACAGAGAAAAAGGAGTTGAGAAAGAGAGGACCAGATGGGAGAGTGAAGATGACATTTGAGCAAAGACCAAGAGGAAGTGGGAAGTTACTCATCCAGATGATGTTGGGGAAGGGTCTTGGTGCAAAGGCCCTAAGGCTGCCTGGCATGGGGTGGGGAACAGGCAGGTGACCATGCCCGTGTGGCTGGAGCAGCGCAGTTGAGCAATGTGCTCCGCAAAGTAATGGGGTGTGTGTCTTTGTGTCTGTTTGTCTGTCTGGGTGTCTGTATGGAGGCTACCTATTTTATATGTATATATATGCATTTTTCAAAAGTTAATTATGGAGTAGAGAACCATTGTTTAAAGCTCCAGTGTTCCCTGGCTCCTGCTTTCTTAAGAATTAATTTTAGGGAGAAGTTATTTTAATTTGCACAATTTTATAATCTATAAAAGCTTATTTTTTAAAAGATTTTATTTTTTATTTATTTGAGAGAGAGTGAGTGAGAGAGAGAGAGACAAAGAGAGAGAGCACAAACAGGGAGAGCAGCAGAAGGAGAAGCAGACTCCCTGCTGAGCAGGGAGCCTGACGCGGGACTCGATCCCGGGACCCTGAGATCACAACCTGAGCTGAAGGCAGACACTTAACCTACTGAGCCACCCAGGCACCCCTATAAAAACTTATTTTAAAGTGGTTTAAGCTGTGTATTGGCAGGAATTGAATAGTCAAATGAAAGATGTTTCAGGAAGATGACCTAGCAAATGAAATTTTTGTTCCCTGCTTGCAGTATAGGCCAGCGAGGATTTAAGTGAATACTTGGCCTCTTTAACCCCCTCTCCTTCTATGAAAGAGTTGCATCTGTCTCTGCAAAATGAGGAAGTCACTGTGATAGAGCCTCAGTTTCCAGTCAGGTCCCACCACCTTTGATAGTGGGGTTGTCCTTTTCTACAGGGGAAGCTATTGCCCAATCCTGGGAATCTCTGCCTTCTCTGGGTGCTGGGCCATATGGAGAGTAGAAGTACTTAGTGCTATGTTGAACAGTATGTAAACGCTCCACAGCACACTGGACCAGCAGCTTTGGCATCACCTGGAAACTTGATAAAAATGTAAATGCTCAGGTCTAGGGCTGAGGGGTAGTAGGTACTGGCAGCGCAGAGTGTTTATAAATGAGTGATGCCTCTGGAACAGATGTTCTCAACCCTGGCTGTACATTAGACTCCCTGGGGAATTCAAAATAAGAAAACAAAATGAACAACTAATACCATGACCCCTGTACCAGAGAGTCCAATTTAATTAGTCTAGGGATAGGCCAGGGGCAAAGGCATCAGAATCTTGTAACTCTTACTGAGTAATTCTAACATGGCAGAATCACTGTGGTAGAACAGATTTCTCAAACCTTAGCACTATTGACGTTTTGAACTGGATAATTCTTTGTTATGAGGCTGTCCTGTTCATTGTAGGATGTTTATCAGCATCCCTGTTCTTTATCTACTAGATTTCCGTAGAACCTCTGCTCCCATTTATGACAACCAAAAATATCCCCAGATATTGCCAAATGTTCCCTGGGAGGCAAAACTGTCCCAGTTGAGAACAATTGCTTTACAGAACAATTCTCAAAGTTTACTGCAGCACTGCCCAGTATAATTATCATGCTATCCCCATGTGTAATTTTACACTTTTTAGTAGCTACATTAAAATAAGCAAAATAAAACAGGTGAAACTAATGTTAACAGTAGAGTTAATCTAGCCCAATATATCCAAAATAGTATTTTAAAATACATTCAATATAAAAAATATTAATAAGGCATTTTACACTCTTTGTCCAAGTCTTTGAAATCTGGTGTGTGATTCACCAGATTACAGTGTATTTCAATTCAGATAAGCTACATTTTGAGTCCTCAGCAGGCACATGTGACCAGGGGCTATTGAATTGGGGTTGAGTAGGCATCAGAATCACTTTGAAAGTTGGTTAAAACATAGATTGCTGGGCCACACTCCCAGAGCTTCTGATTCAGCAGGTCTGGGGTGGAGCCTGAGAATTTGCATTTCCCAACAAGCTTGCAGGTAATTCTGAAGCTGCTGGTCTGGTGACCACACTTTGAAAACCAGTGCCTAGAGAAACTCTAGTGCCTTTGTTACTAAAAAATATTGTTTGTGAACCAGCAGCAGACCTTGGGGTCTGTAAGAAATGCATAAATCCAGGTCCCACCCCTGACCCATTAAACTGGAACCTGAATTTTAACCATAATGCACGTGAAAGTTAGAAGGTGAGACTTCCTTGAGCAAGACCCCGCTGTGTGTGGGTCTCTGTTATAGCCGCCTGTTTGCTTCCTTCTTAGAGCTTTCTCAGTTCTTTTTCTCTGTTTTTCCCACTTGACTAAAAAATGTAGGCTTTTATTATTATTATTTTCCTGTTAACCATTCTCTGTCCAGGGCCTAGTATATCTTGCACATAATAGGCACCTAAATATCTATGAAATTAATGATCCTATAAAAGAAGAGAAGGCTGGGGCAATGATTAGGTATATTCTTTGGCTTTAGAAATTTAAATAAAAATGTGTTTGGAGATGAGTTGAACACTGGGATTCAGAAGCTGATTGTGTGGCTCTTGCTGGCCTGGAGGGCGAAATGGTCCTTCCTGTAAACTTTACCTGTACTGAGGGAGTATGGGTGACTCACCTTGAAAGAATTGCCTGTAGGAAGCTGCTCGGATTCCTCTTCCTGGGAAGGTGGAGCCAGATTCTTTTCCTTTTAGAGTAGTGGCCGTGCTCTACCTCGCTGTGACATCACGCAGCACCCAGGAGGTTCTCGGGATGGTCCTTCTTTAGGACTGTGGGTGCTGCTCAAGTGTCAGCACAGGCTTCTTCACACTTCCATAGCCAGTTGGCATTCCAGAGGCATCACGTTCAACTGACTCAGTTCTAAATCATCAGAGGCACGATTACAGAGTGGAAATTTGGTTTCCAAAGGGAATTACTGATGTTAAAACGCCGGGCTAAAATACATTTTTTTCACATATAAAAATAGTCTCTTGACTCTTGGATCAGTTTCTTTTTTTTTCTTATGCTTTTAATAATGGAAAATAGTTTCTCCATACTTCTTTGGGAGAAGACAGGAAACCTTTTTTTCCCTTTCTGTTGTGATTTAGTGTTAAGTGTGAAGTAACCAGTGGTTAACTATATATCTTAATAACACAAACAGCTTGTGTGTAGACAGATGGAAAGATGAAGTAATTCAGTAGTTACTTTCAGAGGAGGGCAAAGAAAAAAAAGCAGGAATGAACAACAATTTCATAATAGTCTTTGCACTCTACTTCACTGCCCCCCCCTTTTTTTATGCAGCTGCCTTCTCGTCATGCCAGACTTGAAAAAACTGAGACTATGTGAGAGTGAAATGTGCATTTTATGTTTTACAGGAGGATTTAAATGAGAAAGAGTGGCATTGTCCAAATTAAGAACCTTGATTCTCGTCAGGCAATGGTTGCCTGGTGTAGAAGCAGGATGACAGGCCTGGTGTGGGTAACACAGCGGGCTGACATGACACCCATCGTTGTCAACCTCACTGTCCTAGAGATGTGTTACAATGTTTTCTAGTTGAAGGGCATATACTTTAAGCATATGTAATTTGTGGTTTGTTTTTAATTTTAAGCTATTTCTTAAATCTGAAAAGGGTCAGTGGGGGGAGATCAGTGCCATATAATCACTGAAGCAGATTGAGGGAATGCTCCATAGGTGAGGCTTGTCTATGATTATTGCTCATGGATACCTTTGCTTTAAGATGCTTCTAAGTGCCTGATGCCTCTCTAATGATTAGAAGATAATAATTCTTTTGGCTCTGGTAACCAGAGTTTAGCCACTTATCTGGGAAAACATCTTTGCTCTGATTCCTTGGGTAAGTGTGAAGTTCTCTGACTGTGTTATGCTGCCCTACTGTACTTAATCAGAGTGCATAAAAGTGCTGTTACCCAGGGTTGAGGTAGCTTCAAGAATGCGGTACTGGGTGCACCTGGCTGGCTCAATCAGTAGTGCATGAGACTCTTGATGGGGTCGTGAGTTCGAGCTGCACATTGGGCATAGAGTTTATTTAATTAAAAATTTAAAAAAAAAATAAAGGAATAGACTACTGTACCAGAGTAAGGGCTGGTGATTATATGGGCTGCTTGGTGGTTATGTAGGGGAAATAGAAAATAAAAATAATGGGAACCCTATATAATCACAAAGCAGGAAGGTCAGCACACTGAGGTCAGCACCTTACTAAGGGTTTTAGGAGAGGAGAAACAGAGTAAATTGATACAAGGGCTGAAAAGTTATGGTAAAGGAAATATTATTTGAAATTGTGCTGTCTCTGTACATTATCTCATTCATCTCCATGGTAATCCTCCATGACACATTACAGACATTCTTCCCATAATTAGGTGAGGACGCTGAGGCATGAGATACTTAGTGACTTCCTGGTTCACATAGAGATAATTCGAGAACCAGAACTTTGATGCTAAATTTTCTTGGAAAGCTCCTCTGGGACCTCTTCTGGCGGTGTGCTTATTATGTATAGGTGTTAGCATCTACGAGTATTTCACAACCATTCATAAGAAAACGCTCTGGCTAGGAGGAAAGCTGTGATGTGCACTGTACCTATCCTTTAAAAAAGGGACAATAGACCAGCTCCTGATTTAGGTCTTAGGTGCCTTTCATCTAAAATTTTTAGTTCACAGCATTCATTTTGGAGTAAAATAGGCATGATTGCTTCATGCAAGTACTCTGCAATTTAACTGCTTTGTGAATTTCTCCTCTGGCTCTATTAATGTCTTTTTAACCCTTTGGTGTCTGGCAACCATAGTCACTTACTTGAAAATATATTTCTTTTATTAATAAAATAGTTACCATTACTTATTAGTCAATTTTTAGAATATTTTACAGATGATAAATAACCCTCATAGTTTCTTGTTGAAGCAGATAAGTTGGAAAGAAGATCACTGAAATTAATCTGTAATCAAGCAAGAGCAAAATGGACAATATTGTGTTCAAGTATTTGAAGTGCATGTCATTGTTTGCTAAGAAAATATTAATATTTTTGAAGCTTTTGTAAAATGGTGTGATCTCTACATTGTACATTTTGTTACAAACATATTTTCTGCTCTGGTTATTAGTAGTTGGGGAGATGTTTATAGGGTTACATGTACAGAGGTTCAACCACATTGGAAAAATAAAGACAAGAACAAATAGCAACAAATCCTTAGCACATGCTCCCTGGCTTGAACACAGTCTGCCCAGTTGACCTCTGACATTCACCATGGGTCATCCTCCTTCAGTCTACTTCAAGGTAAAGGCTGTATCCCAGATGTCCTTAATCAGCACAGGTTTATTTTAAATCAACTGGTGTTTTCAGCACCTGTAGGGATAATAAAATCTGGAAGTTTACCACCCTCAAACTAAAGCAGTAATTTATAATTGAATTGAAAGGTTTATTTGATTGGATTCTCTAAGCAATTCAGTCTGAATCTAATCTGGTGACAGAGCTTGTGAGTCTGGTTCTGTGAGGGAAGTACAAGAGGACCCATCCAGCTGGTTGTGACTCCTGGGGAGAAATTTACTGATGTAATCCACTGTGTGTATAATTGTGCCCACCACCAGTTTTTTTTGTTGTTTTTTTTTTTTGAAATTTATATATATATTTATTTTTAAGATAATAAACCTTTACATAATAACTACATTTTTCAAATGAACAATAACTATATTTTCCAAAACAAAATGAAATTGGTGAGAAGAGCGGCATTGTTTTACAATTTCGCAAACCATTTTATTTTATTTTTTTTATTCTTATGTTAATCCCCATACATTACACCAGTGAGTTTTTATGTGGCACTTATAATTAGGTACATAGATGGCCTGCTAAGGTTGTTTTGTCATGCTACTTTATGTAAACATAACAAGCATAGTATCAGATACCTGTTCTGTCCAATGTTCTTCCCGTAGCCACACCTTCCAGGACTCTAGTATTAGCGCAGCTCTATAAAGATATAGTTACCAGATTATGTCTTTAAGTGACTCATTCTATTTGCTCACTTTTTTTTTGCAGAGTACTTGCATGAAGCAATCATGCCTATTTTACTCCAAAATGAATGCTGTGAACTAAAAATTTTAGATGAAAGGCACCTAAGACCTAAATCAGGAGCTGGTCTATTGTCCCTTTTTTAAAGGATAGGTACAGTGCACATCACAGCTTTCCTCCTAGCCAGAGCGTTTCTTATGAATGGTTGTGAAATACTCGTAGATGCTAACACCTATACATAATAAGCACACCGCCAGAAGAGGTCCCAGAGGAGCTTTCCAAGAAAATTTAGCATCAAAGTTCTGGTTCTCGAATTATCTCTATGTGAGATAATTTTTTGCTCAAGTAGGGGAAATTTGTTGATTGTAAAATGATGAAGAAAAATAATTCGTTGTATTGGAAGCCTCAAATCTTTGCTTCTCAAATATTTTTGTAGGCTGTATTGCATATAGTATCAATTCAGTCTCATGTTATACACAAATTGCCAGGAGGGAGAGAGCTACCCGATGGGGAAGTATTTGCTGTGAGTCATTCCTGGTAACGGTAATGGTACAGACGTGCTCTTGTATATGGTGGAATTGGTGATGGGAGGTAGAGTTTGAGTATTCTGTGTTGTGTGCCCCATATTCCATTGCACACTTTCCAAAATTGACATAATTACAAGGATCATGTGAGGTACTTATTACATATGTAGGCCTCCCCCAGAAGACTGAATTAGAATTTCCACTGATAGGATCTAGGAATATGTATTTTTAACAAGAACCTTAGATTATAAAAAGAATTATACACAATGATTAAGGATTCTATTTGCTAATATTTTGTTGAGGATTTTTGCATCTATGTTCATCAGAGATATTAGTCTATAGTTTTCCTTTTCTCTAATGCCTGTCTGTTTTTAGTATTAGTCTAATTCTGGCCTCATAGAATCAGTTAGGAAGTATTCTCTCTGCTTCTGGCCTCTGAAGGAGATTGTGGAGGATTTATATAATTTCTTCTTTAAATGTTTCATAGAATTCACCAGTGAACCCATCTGGGTTTGTTGCTTTCTGTTTGGGAATGCTATTTACTCTTTAATGGATATAGGCCTATTCAGGTAGACTGTTTCTTTTTGTGTGAGTTTTAGCAGATTGTATCTTTCAAGGAATTAGTCCCTTTATCTAGGTTATTAAATTTGTGGGCATGAAGTTTATTATCCTTTTAATTTCCATGGGATCTGTAGTGATGCTCCTCTTTCATTTCTGATACTAATAGTTTGTGTCCTCTTTTTATTTATTTTTTTTTAGTTAGATTGGCTAAAGACTTAACCATTTTATTAATCTTCTGAAAGACCCAGCTTTTTGTTTTGTTGAATTTTCTCTATTTACAATAGCCAAATTATGAAAGTAGCCCACGTGTCCATAGATAGATGAGTGGATAAAGAAGATGTGGTACATTTATGCAATGGTATATTATTCAGCTATAAAAAAGAATGAAATCTTGCCATTTGCAATGACATGGATGGCGCTAGAGAGTATAAGTCAGAGAAAGACAAATAGCATATGATTTCGCTCACTTATGGAATTTAAGAAACAAAACAAATGAGAAAAGAGATTTAGAAAGAGAGAGAGATGACCAAGAAACAGACTCTTAACTACAGAGAACAAATTGATCATTACCAGAGGGGAGGTGGGTGGGGGGATGGGTGAAATAGGTGATGGGGATTAAGGAGTGCACTTGTCATGATGAGCACCTGGTGAAGTATGAAATGTTGAATCACTATTTTGTACACCTGAAACTAATATAACACTGTATGTTAACTATACTAGAATTAAAATAAAATTTAAAAAAAGAGAGAACCTTAGATTATTCTCCTGATCATGCAAATTTAGTACCAATCTACATTGGTGGCTACTGTAGGAAGCCTCTTGGCTCTTTAAATTACAGCTAA